TCTCACGTCAATCTTTTCATCCACCATTACCCCCAAGTCCTTCTCGGCAGGCCTTCTCTCAATCCCTTCATCCCCCAGCCTGTAGTGACAGCGGGGGTTGCCCTGACCCAGATGGAGGACCTTGTACTTAGCCTTGTTGAACCTCGTGAGGTTCACGTGGGTCCGTTTCTCCAGCTTGTCCAGGTCCCTCTGGATGGCATCCTATCCTTGTGGCGTGTCAGCTGCACCACTCAGCTTGGTGTCGTCTGCAAACTTGCTGAAGGTGCACTTGATCTCGCTCTCTAAGTCATTGATGAAAATGTTAAAACAGTACCGGTCCCAGTAGGAATCCCTGGGGGACACCACATGTCATGAGTGTCCATTTGGACATTGAGCCATTGACCACTACCCTCTGGCTGCGACCATCCAACCAACTCTCCCCGAGAGTGCCCCTGGCCAGCGGATGGGGCACCCGCCCCCTCGGCGAGGATTCTCTCGGACTTCCTCCTGGTGCTGCTGCAGGGCTCATGTTCTCCTGGCTTGCCTGCTTCATTGGACACAGCTCCAAGCCCCTCCACTGTGGTTAGGACACTGAACCTGCTCTGTAGCTGAAGATAACAGAGGTGGAGCAGGAGTGGTCCTCCTGGCACAGAAGATCACCATGTCCCAGCCTTCACCATTAAGGGACTTGCCACTTCCCAGCTTGACGCTGCCTGCCCCTCCTTTGGGACAACTGGATGTTCAGGGTCTGGTTTGGACTCAATCCAGTTCAGCTCATTCTTGACGGATCTGAGCCTGTGCATCCTGTTGACCTTCTCTTGCTGCTCCTTTACTTGGCAGCAGAGGTGCTCCAATAGCACACAGCCCCTGTGAGCAAGGGCACCATCACCCCACCCTGGCCTCAGTGATGCCCCAGTCCTCTGCACTGCCTTCAGCCCCATACCTGGAGACCTGCGTCCTCCTACGGGAGACCCACCCAGGTCAACATCAGGAGCAATTGCTCCAGTGGGTGCTCGGGCCTGTGACCAGTGGTGTGCTACCACCATCGCTGAGCACACACGCACAGCTCTCAGCGGAGTTCCTGCCTCCCTCTGCTCCAGCTGGTGTGCAAACTGCAGGACCCCAGGCTCCCTCTGTTAGCTGCACTCATTGAAGTCTTGAAAGAGCATCACGCTGACTCCAAGGCAACTTGCAGTGTAAAGGGGAAGAATAATTTGAAGCTAGTGACTTTGGCTTAAATATTGGCAAGGGTGTTTTTTTTTTTCTCTTTTTTCCCCTCCTCCTCTATGTTCATCATCAACTTCTTTTTCTTCCATTCGTGTTCCATCCTCCCCGCAGCAGCAGTATAAGGATGACAGGGCTTCCATTCTGTTTGACTTGAATTCCTCATGGGCAGATCTGTGCACTACCTGCCATGACTATGTAGGCAGTCATCGCATGGAACTCTCCTCTGCGTTACTCCTCTCACCTCTAGCGAGGGATTTATCACTTCAGTACAGTCTGCCTCAGAAAGAGGTTGCAGCCTTCTCTGTCTCCAGAGCGAGATGCACTTGTCTCTGACATTTAAAAAAGACATGTGATGTTTTAACCAAAAAGCATTCAAGTGCTCACATCCGAATGTAAGTTTGAAAAAGTAGTGACTGTTACAACCAAAATCGAATGCCTCTAGGAAGGGAGACGGCTGTAAGATCACTGTTCGTTTTACTGACCCAAAAGCCATTTTGCTGAACTGCCAAACGCTACAGACTGGATCTGCATGTGCCACACCAGAAATGCTCTGCCTTCTCATCTTTAAATTGTTCTACTTTTAGATTCTTATGTGATTCTTTTAGATGTTTATGCGAGTAATGTGGGCCAACAGTAAGTCAGCTTATGTCCGTGTTAGTTGAAAAAATATTTATAAACTATGGACTTCTATTTTCCTAGTATAATTATGTTGTTCTCAGCCGTCGGTTTTTCTTCATGTTTTTGTTCTGCAACACTTTCTTCTCAACGCTCACTTTTTCATTTACCTTTTAAAAACCTGACTTTTCTTATGTAGTCAGCAGAGGGAGCTATGTCACTTACTTATGTGAGACGCTAGAGGTCTGTGCTTTGAATCTTGCTTTTTCCCCTTTTTTCAGTTCACATAAGCTAGGACGAATCTTATGCCTTTAAAACTTTAAAAGGCTCTGGCATAGTGGCAGTCCATAGGCAGTTTGACAAACCGCTACAGATCAGGAACAGGATACCTTTCCTAGATTTTTCCTTTTAAATGAACCATGCCAGCCAGATACTACCAGCGGTCTATATTCTGCCTCACCTCAACAAAGAATATAATTCTGTTTCGAAGCAACAGAGTCTTTAGAGTTTAGACAAAACCTTGCAATTGGAAAAAAGTGTTTGAAACATTTGTCGCTCACAGGCAAGCAAAAATGACAGGTGAGAACTGGAGGTTGGGTTGAACCTTCCGCTTGCTGGCTGAGTTGCAGGAAGACTCTTGAGCGGGCAGGGCCTTTTGTTTCATTTGAAGAGGCTCCATTACAATTGCCGGCTTGACAGCACGGAGTGACGCGGGAGAGGAGCCGCTCTGTGCTCCTGCACCCGCGGGGCCCCGCAGCTCCCTTTGCGGGTCTGGAGAACAACGGGGTGATCCTAAGCAAGTGTCCTCTTCGCCGCAGAGAAATTGGTGGTCTCTCCCCAGACGGGCAGGCTTACCTTCTCCTCTGGCTGCCTCCTGACAGCTCGCAGCGTCACGATGACGTCACAGTGCCCCCCTGCAAAGGTGCATTCCGCTTCTCGTGGCTAAGAGCAACCATAGGGACCAGGACAGCCTCCGGGTCAGCAGAGCCACTTCTGCCATGAAAGTCATTCTGCTGGTTTTGTTCTCTTTCCTTACTTCTGCAGAGACGACCAGAAAATATATGTTTGCTGACGGTATGTTCGAATCAAAACTTCATTCCCGTAAAAATTATTACAGAGCTTGCATTCTGCTAGATATATAAAAGGACAGAGGGTTTTCTTCCTCTCGCTACTTTTTAGTTACATGAAGTTTTTCCTCAGAGCGCTTAATAAGACCATTCCCTTCTGCCGTGGTAGCACTGCTGTTGTGAAAACACACGCTGCCGTTCGACGTGTTCCGCCTGCGTGCGGGTGCAAAAGCGCGCAGGGGCCAAAGGCGCAGAGAGGTTGTCCAGCAGGTCCAGCAGCCACAGAGCATCCAGTCAGGACACAGCTGCCAGCGCTCGCAGCACCGCAGAGAAGAGCATCTGCTCGCAATTCTGTGACCCCAGCGACGAGCTGGACGGAGAACTGCACACGGTTTGCCCCCGAGATTTCCAACGGTGTGGGGACGGTCAACCCTGCAGACATGCGGCACCATTCAGACATTGGGAACTGCAACACAGCAACACTGAAACACTCTCCACTGTTCCTCGGGCTGGATGCGGCTCAGATTCGCTGTCCCTCAAAGTGAAAGGGGCAAAAAAATGGTTTCACAAGGCAAAACAAGGACTGTTGGTTTCCTGACTGCTGCAGACATTATCTTACACTCCAGACCCAAGACAGGAATATTATTTTCTAGCACATGTAATTATTTGTCCTGACTGAGAAATATTCTAACTGGCATGCTGTACTGTGAGGGCGGCAGGGCAGAGCTAAGTGGGAGCCTGATGCAGGAGACAGTTCCTGAATGTTAGCGTATGCACATGGCTGTTGGAAACAGGTCACATTTAGAAATACAGTATCATATGACTATGGGGATCTTAAAGAAATAATAACAGCATTTTAAAAAAGTGAGCATTACTGCTTTATAATTCATTAAAGTGGTTTTCGTCACTTTTTAAAAGGTGAACAATATTGCTTTATAATTTATTAAAGTGTTTTTAGTCACTTGTTGCAGCAAGCATATGTTGCAGCCTGTCAAATCATCAGCAAATACTGTTTATTTAAAAAAACATGTATTTGGCTAAGCAGTCATTGACTAAGCATCTTCTGCATTTCTCCAAAGTAGCGCTACCTGGAGGCTATTTGGAAGACGAGATGCAAGAAGACGATGATGATGAAAAAAACTTTAATGTTGAAAAAAGTCCTGATGAGGAGACTACAGAAACTGGTAAAATGAAATTTATCACTTCAGGATGAGGTATTCAAAATTTTACGTGAAGTGGAATTCTCCCTTTCATGTAACGTGAACTTGATGTTTGCAATCCCTGCTGGTAATATCGTTTCACAGAGTCGCTGTCTCCACCCAAGCCAAGCGAATGGCTTATACATCCACACAAACTCAGTGGGGAGTTTCTGGTAACAGGACTGGATAAATGCATGTAGGGTTCCGTTAGCTACGTCCTTGAAGCAGAACCCCGTTCTTGGACCAGGCAGTGGCATGCCTAGTGCTTACTGGTGGGGCAGAAATGAACAGCCTGCCTGCAGTAGGACAGGGGCGAGAGCGGAGGACTATAATGTTAAAGAATGGAATTATAAAATATCCCTATAAGGAAAATATTTTAGTTAACTGTTTCTTTCTCTCATGCATCAGGAAGGGGAAGATGGAAGAGAGAGGAACTGTGCTGTGCTATTCAGTCCTTGAACTAAGCATGTTCAAACTTTGTACTGTTTATTTATAAGCACGTTGTAGACTGGAAACAAAAAAGGTTATTAACAAAAAAATAGAGGAAGAAACATGTTATATGTGGCCTTCACAACACTCATTACAATGGCACTTTAGGCAGTTACAGAATAGTGCAATCCAAATTTTCAAAGAACAGAATGGTTGGTTTCTCTGTAAAAAGGACTGCGTTTCATCAGCCACAAATCAGTCAAAGCACAACTAGGTAGTTGGAAAACCATCTCTCTCACTTGGATGTGACTGTTTCTGTGAATACTCCCATTGTGCTCTTTGGAAAACGCCAGACTTATATGGCAAAGATAGGAATCTGACTTAATATGCATTCATTTAGAAATTTCTGCAAGGACATCTGTGTCCCAGCCTGATGAGGGAGAGCATTTGTTAAAGGAGAGTATGCAGAATTTGAAGGAGGAATGTAAGTAGCACAAGATACCATTTAAGCAGAGTGAAACTATATACAGCTGCTTAAGTAGTAGTAAGGTCCAGACAGCAGAGCCTGGCACACATATCAGGCAGCTATGCATCTCAGATTGTATGTTGTGTTGCATTCATTTGTTACCGATACAACTGCTCTAAAAACCAGACAAATTAACGAGAGGTTAGGTCCAGAAATATTAGATTAGTCCTAGACTACTAAAAAAAATTACAGAACAATAGGTGAGAGAGAAGAATGAATGTCCTGCTGTTCTCTCACCTTTTAACAAAATATGTTCACAAGACATAATTTGACTTGTGAGTAATTAGATCCCATGGGTTTCTGCTTTATTTCACTATGTTTCAAGGATCCTCCTATCCTATCTACTGCTTTCTGGTCACCTTTATGATCTCCAGCATGGTTTACAGTTCACATTTAAAGAGAGCCTGCATCTGAATTAATTGCAGAAAACAAGTAACCCCACAATGTCCACATGGCACTGTGTACAGATTGACACAGTCCCTTTCCAGTTCTGCCTGAATCATTCCTTTAAGATATTTCTGTTACAATTGAGGATGATTAAAACGGACTACAATAGTAATGTTTGGGTATTTTTTTTTCTGAGTGACTAACCGCATATAGGAAGTAGCATACTGTTGCTGGCTATTACACTCATCAGCTCCGCCAACAAGCATGAAAGGTGGTCTCATCTGCAAACTGTTAACCCACCCAGAATGCCACAGGCAGATGACACATTGCCTTCCATACAAGGCCATCAAAAATCAAGTATGAATCGGGAAAATGCTTCTGCAAAAAATAGCTCTGCCTTAAAATATATACGTAGATTGGGATTTTTGTAAGCAGTTTGTTTCTGTTCCTAAGAGAGTCACCCTGTGTAACTTCAGCTTCTTTATTATTACTGCTTGTAGAAAAATTCATCTCTACCAAAGGAGTGGAAGAGTAGAGTTCTCAGGAAGAGCAGGCACTAGGTAACAGCTAATTGGTGTTCCCTTTGGGGTTTCTAGTATTATACCACCACCCTAAAAAAATCTGGTTTGACATGTTGATCTGAACATGATTTCCCCAGTTTCACCAAGCTCAAGACCAGGTATCCCTTTGCTATTTGTAAGTTCACAATACAGCTGTTTCAAGTTCCTCAATTTTAATCACTGCAGAACTGCAAAGTGCTAGAGAATAAAACATATGGGGTTTTTTTCTAAAGAAAGTAGTTCTTACCACTTTTCCAATCATTTTTCATAGTCAACTACATTAATCTCTGATTTTTTTGGCTTTTAGACTTTTGACAATAATGCAGCAGCTTCCCCTCCTTCCCTTTGATGTCAGATGTACAACTTCCTGATTTTTCTTTCTCTGCTTTATCTTACAAATAATCTTTGCCGCTGTTCTTTCTTTTTTTCCCCAGAATCCAGATTCGGACCCCATCACCTTACACAGAGCCACAGTGAAAAACCACCTTTGGACGGTATGGTAGAGGGCTCAGAAAAAGATTAAATACAAGTTCAGTTCTTCTAACTAGACAGTATAACAACAACAGCAATTCCAAATTTGGTGGGCAAAAACAAAATGAAAAAGAAACTTGAAAATAAGAGAGTTTGTCACATTTTCATCTGAGAATCACAAAACTACTAAAAATCATTAGGCAAGCCCTGTCTTTGAGACATTCGCTTATTAGCAGGTAAACAAGCTGAAGTCCCAGGATGATGAAAATTAGCATGGGCCATATTAGGAAACTATAGAAAAAGTAATGCAAAAAAGTACTTTGAATCTGAAAACACGCTTCTGTTGAAAAACCTTGAAGAACACTTTAGTCTCTGTATCTCTTGTTCTCCTACCTCCAGTTACATTACTGCTTTGCAACTGAGGGAAAATGTTAAACATATTCACAGATATACAGATGAAGCTAAGATTCTACTGACCTGAATGGGAGACATGCATTTGTGTGCAAAGGTGCAGCCTGGCCTCTGAGATTGTATGGTTTTTATCTGTGTTGATTCATGAATGAAACAGTAGTATATGCTTTCTGTATCTCTGGCAATATAAATTGTAGAATCATAGAATCATAGAAAGTTTTGGGTCAGAAGGGACCCCTAGAGGTCATCTAGTCCAACCCCCCCACAGCAAGCAGGGACACCGCTAACTAGATCAGGTTGCTCAGAGCCCTGTCCAAGCTGGTCTTGAATGTTTCCAGCGATGGGGCCTCCACTACCTCTCTGGGCAACCTGTTCCAGTGTTTCACCACCCTCACTCTAAAGAATTTCTTCCTTATATCCAGCCTAAACCTACCCTGTTTTAGTTTAAAACCGTTACCCCTCGTCCTGTCACTGTTGTCTCTACTAAAAAGATTGTCCCCATCTTTCCTATAGGCTCCCTTTAAGTACTGAAAGGCTGCAATCAGGTCTCCCTGCAGCCTTCTCCAGGCTGAACAAGCCCAGCTCTCTCAGCCTGTCCTCCTGATTTTAAGGACACCAGATACCAACCAAGCAATGTATTTGTCCAAAAAATGCCAAGAACATAGCGTAGCAGTCTTGATGATGCTCGCACACAATAAATTAGGAATACGTAGAATTGATGGTTCCATAAATGCTTTAGATGACCCCATCCCCTCGCAGGTGAAAAAATGAGTTCTAATAAACTCAGAGTAGTAGCATCTCTGTAGAGGCCTGCTAAACTTCCATCAGAATTAGCCTTCATGAAGCACACAAATCACATCTAGAAAGACTGTAGGATGTGATTTTGACCACTTTATCAACAACTAAATGGATCTGAGTTTTCACAGAGGTAGTCCTTTTATTAAGGGTGCCTATTTTTATTTGCAAATTACACAGATATAATCCGTTCCTACCTATGTTGACTTGTCCAGGATATCACCTGCGTGCATACTAGTGGTGTGGTGTGCTTTACTGTTACAGTGTCAGATAATGCGGATTTGCTTCAAAGGAACACAGATCAAGAAACGAGCCAAGAAGATTTTAAAGTAAAAGTAATGTTTGCTGTGTCATGTGCAACTCTTGTCTGCTTCTTAACATTTCTGATATGCTGTTTTTTGGCTTTCATCAAGTACAGAAAGGAAAAAGGGTAAGTTTTCCAGCCATGTGCTGTGCTTTATTATTTGGATAACAAAGTAAGGTGCTACTCCAAACATAGTATTAAAGACATGCAAAAATGTGATAAAAGCTCAGAAAGGTTGTACACACACAGAGTTAAGTTGCTTACTTTTTCCCCTGCAAATGAAAAGTGAAGGCAGAAATTATTAAAAAATCAAAAATTATATTATTACCAGGAGAGCATGTTCTAAACATTTCCTTATAAGTTGAGATGCTCCCCGTTGTCAGTTCAAATCCTGAAAAACAAGCAGGTTCAGTAAATTATTATCCATCTTCACCAGTGCCTGTTAATTTTCATTTGGATTCCTCCGGTTAGACTAACGTAAAGACTTTTGTTCTGTGTTTACAGGAATTTTAGTCATACATTTAGGTGCTCGTGTAAACAACAGAGACCAGCTTCTGCATGTTATTTTAACCCTCTGAAGGAAGTTCCTGATTCTTCAGCTTCCAGAGCTGCAGAAAGCAGCCTGTGGTGTGTGAAAACATCATCAGACACAGACAGTAGTGGGCAAAGCACAAAATCAGAAACGTTACCTATCATAAATTCTGTAGCTGATATGCCACCGATTTCTCATGCATCAAGTCTCACCAATTCTCTTTCATAAGAAGACTTAAATGGAGACTACAGCTATACCGAATCTCATCGACAGTGACTGACAAGCTCTCTAACTCAGACACTGGTACACAGGCAACCACGTTAATGTAAACAATTCTTGTGATTTACTAAATCTGCAACTTGAAATTTTGTGACAGGACAGAATAAACTTTACATTCTGATAAGACAGTGATGTGTCATTAAAACTGGATCACAAATGTTTGCAGGCAAACATGAACTGCTGCAGAATCAGGTGCCAGGAGATACAACCATGCTCAGAAGACAGCTCCACATTATTCCTCAAGTTAAGAAGGAACAGCTGAAACACAATGGCTTCTTGAAATGAATTAAA